ATACAGGTGCTTGCGGCAAACCCCGCCGCCGTGCCTGTGCAACCGCGCAGCAGGGAGGAGGCTGAGTGTAGGACCGACGCAATTCCGACGAGTAGTCTGCATTGGAGCGGGTCGTGCTCCCGACTTCGTCTTCGTCCGCGCGGCAGGGAGGAAGAGGAGGAAACGGACGAGGACCAATGCAAACCCAAGACTCGTGCGTGGAGGTTGGAATAAACCCTCTCCCCAAGCGCCTTCATCTGAGACCCCATACAAGGGCTCATTTGCACTGAGGGAACTGCCTCGTTTGGGGACAACCGTTGAAGATCATGGAGCGTACCAAAACACCAGTCTAAGGACTCTGGCGCCATAAATCATCATGACATCATGACTGTTGCGTCTTGACGATCCGTCATCGTGCCACTTCCTTGGTCTTCAACACCGCAAATCAACGTAACTGTTTTGGCCTTGTGATCGGGAGTCTTTCAGACCATTGTTGGCACGCTTCCGCCTCCATCTGAGAACACTTCAAGGGAACTGCCTCGTTGGGAGACCTCCGTTGAAGGTCCTGGAGCGTGCCAAAACACCACTCTAAGGGCTCAAGCGCCAAAACATCGACATGACTGTTGCGTTTAAATGAATCGCGGGCGTGCCAAATCCTGGGACTTCACACCTCAAATCAACGTAACTGTTGTGCCCTTGTAATCCAGCGTCTTTCCAAAATCTTATGGTTGGCACGTTTGCCATGGGAATCCGTGGAACTGTTGCACATGTTTAACACAGGGTGCGGGGCGCTAAGGCGAGAGCCTGACTTTGAAAAGGAACTGCCCTCCATCCGTGAAGCTCTTGCGAATTCTAACCACGAAGTGCGCAGCGCCAAGACGAGAGCCTCATTTTGAAGACGAGCAGCCCTCAATCCGCGAGGCTCTTGCAAGGTCCTCAAACGAGTGTGCGCGGCGCTGAATCCAAAGCCACTTGTTGAAAACAATCCGCCCTCTATCCGTGCGACGCTGAGGCAAAAACCGCATTTTGAAAACGACCCACCCTTATTCCGAGAGGCTCTTGCCAGTTGTATATACGAATGCGTGCGGCGCGAAGGCAATCTACACATCTGACAGCGACGCGCCTTCAATCCGTGACCTTGCTGCGATGTGTTGACACGACTGTGCGCGGCGCTAGATGAGAGAGCCACATCCGGGAGGGACAAAAACACACACAGACACAATTAATCGTCGATTCCCCAGAAAATATGGAAAAATATGGGAAGTGGAGGGAGGACACCAACCCAGAAACTATGGGAACATATGGGGAATATGTTTATTTGTGTGTGTATTTATTTGTGTGTCCTGGGGCCCCTTCACACATTTTGAAAACCACTCGCCCTCCATCTGTGGAGCTGCTGTCAGTTTTAGGGCCGCAGGGTTATACACATGGTTGCGGTGTCTCGGGCGGAACGACGGGTCCGCCCGCCCTGCCGACTGGACTCGGAGTGACAAGGAGGAGGAGGAGGAGGAGGAGGAGGAAAAGGATAAGGAGGAGGAAGACGAGCAGGAGGAGGAGGACGAGGAGGAGGAGGAAGAGGAGGAGGAGGAGGAGGTGGAGGAGGAGAAGGAGGAGGAGGAGGAGGAGAGGGAGAAAACGAAGATGAGGAGGCAACGGCTTCTGAAGGCCTTTTTGGGGCCCCCTGGGGGCTTCCTGGGAGCTTCCTGAAAGCATTTTTGGGGGCCTCTTGGGAGCCCCACAGGGGCCTCTTGGGGGCCTCCTGGGTTTCTTGGGCCGTCTTAGGGGACTCCTGGCCCGTCCTCCCCCTATGGAGGCCGCCTTGGGGGCCTCTCTCGGCCGCGTTGGTGCTCCCTTGGAGCGGTTCACGGCATTCTTGGGGCCCTCTTGAGGGCCCCTTGGGTGCTAGTTGGGTTTGTTTGGGTTTGGGCCGATTTCGTGCCCTCTTTGGGGCCTCTTGGGCTGTCTTGGAGCATGGAGGCTTCTTGGGCTGTCTTGGGCGGTCTGAAAACCGAACAGGACCTCCAAGTCGCTCGAAAACTTGAGGAGCATCAATGGTTATGGCCTCCTCGGGCTCTCCGGGTGGGCCTCTTGGAGACCTCCTGGGCCGTCTTTTGGGCATACTGATTTCTCTTGAGGCTGTCTTGGGAGCCTCTTGACAGCCCAAGAGGTGTCTTTGGGTTTTCTTGTTGCTCTCTTGGGGCGCTTCGAGGCTGTCTTGGGGCCCTTGTTGGAAGCCACGGGAGGATCTGTGTGTCCTCTGGGGCCAAACTGGGGCACTCTTGGGGGTCTCTTCGGCTGCCATGGATGTATCTTGGAGGCCTCTTCGAGGCTTTTTGTGCCGTCATGGTTGATCGGAACTCTGAACAGGCGAGAACCTCAGCATCATGGAACAACCTAAGGAACATCAAGGTTTTGGGTCCCTTCGGGCTCTCCAGGAAGGCCTCTTGGAGCTCTCTCGGGTCGTCTTGGGGACCTCTTAGGCCATCTTGAGCCTTCTTGGGCTATCATGAGCCGTCTTGAGGCTCTCTTGAGAGGCTCTTGAGCTGTCTTGGGCCATGTTGAGCCGCTTTACTGTCGTCTTGTCTGGCTTGGAGGCCGTCTTGGAGGCCATATTGGCCGTCTGGAGGCCGAACAGACCGCCAGAAACCAATTTCAAAAGGGCTTTTTCCCTACCTAGGCTCTGCCTAGAAGGGTTCTTACTCTCTTACCTTTCAGGGGCCGGGCAGTGGAAATCGCCCCGGGCGGTTCCCCCAGTCCCCTGGGAGCCAAGCAAAAGTAACAGCAAAGGTAAGAGCAAACGCGCGGTTCTCCAGTTGCGCTCCCTGGGTGCCAAGCAAAAGCAAAAGTAAAGGCAACAGTGAAGGCAACAGCGCAGGCAAAGCAAAAGCATAGCATAGCATAGCATAGCATAGCATAGCAGAGCATCATAGCGCAGCATAGGATAGCGCAGCATAGCATAGCATAGCATAGCATAGCTTAGCCTAACCTAGCCCAGCATAGCATTGCGCAGCATAGCATAGCATCGCAGAGCATATCATAGCATAGCATAGCATGGCGCAGCACAGCATCCATTATTGCTGCTGCTATATATATATATATATATATGTACTTATATATATACACGTGTGTGTGCGCACGCATGTTCCATGCTGTTCCGTGCCTGCTTGCTGTTGCTGCTGTCTCGGCGACTGGCTGCCTGCTTCTGCTGCTGCTTCACTTACGGCGTGGCGTCGGCGGTTCCGGCGGTACTACTATTACTACTACTACTACTACTACTACTGCTACTACTACTACTACTACTACTACTACTACTACTGCTACTGCTGCTACTACTACTATTACTACTACTACTACTGCTACTACTGCTACTACTACTACTACTACTACTACTACTACTACTACTACTACTACTACTACTACTACTACTACTACGACTACTACTACGATTACTACTATCACTACGACTACTACTACTACTACTACTACGACTACTACTACGACTACTACTACTACTACTACTACTACTACTAATACTACTACTACTACTACTACCACTACTACTATTACTACTACTACTACTGCTACTACTACTACTACTACGACTACACTACTACTACGACTGCTACGATTACTACTAGTACTACTTACTACTACTATTACTATACTACTACTACTACTACTACTACTACTACTACTACTACTTACTACTACATACTACTACTACTACTAACTACTACTACTACTACTACTACACTACTAATACTGCTACTGCTACTCCTACTGCTACTGCTACTACTACTACTACTACAACTACTACACTACTACGATTACTACTACTACTACGTGTACTGTACTACTACTACTCCTACTGATACTACTGCTACTACTACTACTACTACTACTACTACTACTACTACTACCACTACTACTACTACTACTACTATGACTACTACGACTACTACTACTACTACTACTACTACTACTACTACTACTACTACTACTACTACTACTACTACTACTACTACTACTACTACTACTACTACTACTACTACTACTACTACTACTACTACTACTACTACTACTACTACTACTACTACTACTACTACTACTACTACTACTACTACTACTACTACTACTACTACTACTACTACTACTACTACCACGACTACTACTATTATTATTACTATTACTACTACTACTACTACTACTACTACTACTACTACTACTACTACTACTACTACTACTACTACTACTACTACTACTACTACGACTACTACGACTACTACCGCTACTGCTACAACGACGACGATGAGGAGAAGGAGGAGGACGGCGTTTACCGCTCCTAATAATTTTGCTTTCCTAGAGGCTCCAACTCCTAGGTAGGGTCGCACTGGGATAATTTTCAGGGGTGCGTGTGTCGAGGAGGGGGTCCCTAACACGCCCACACCCAGACAACAGACGCGCATTCGAACACGGCCACTCCGTGCAAGCACGGTGGCGGAGTTGTTTCGAATATCAAGCCCCAGGAGCAACATTGGTGAGGATGTCTTGGCCGAAACGCCCCGACCGCCCACGTCTGCGGGTGCGGCCCCGGATGAGTTACTTATGAGGAAACTAGATGGAGGAGGAGCAGCAGGAGGAGGAGGAGGAGGAGGCCGATAACGACGAGGATCAGGAGGATGAAGCAGGGAGGTGCCACCAATTCGGTCTACTCTCACGAGGCCTGATGATTCCGGATGCCCGCACGTTGCGGGACTTGTTGTCGGGCTGGAGACTGGGACACACAATTGGGAGGGGAGGTCCAGAGCAACACGGTAAGGTCCACATCGAGTCGAGATTATCTAGCGCCGCGGATCCACCGCGTTGCACCAATGCTCGTCTAACGGCCTCTCCTCCCCATCCTTCCCCTTTTGCCTTTCGCCTGCATCCCGCATCCCCGCCATCTTGCCATCCTCTGCGTTTCCTCATTCGCCTTCTCTGTCTCTCTCTCCCCTGCTCTCCCGTGCTCTCCCGCCGGCATGAGGTCTCCAAGACGAGCCGCAGCGCTCCCTCCAGGCGGGCTCAGGGGCGGTGGGCACCGGATCTGGCTCGCACCAGCCCTCTTACGAAGCCCAGTGTTGCGGAGCGATGAGCTCAGGCGGGGTCCCAGCTGTCCGCCAGAGGCAGGACCTGCAGGCAGTCCGGGTGACGCCGCCCAGCACGCCGCGGTGCGGCGCCGGGGCCCCGACCACGCCACCGCCGCTGAGGCACGCGAGGGTGGAGCCCCTGCTGCAGGGCCTGGAGCGGAACTGCCCGGAGCGGGTTCGCCGGGCCCTCGGGGCAGACCCACATGCGGCCAAGGTGCCGTTCTTGGAGCGCCGCTTCGATTGGCCGCTGTGCGCTGCGGTCCGCCTGGGCTGCAGCGAGGAGATCGTCCGGCTTCTGACCGCGCACGGCGCGAAGGCCGACGTGACGGACGCCCTGGGGCACTCCCCGCTCCAGCTGCTGAGCTCACGGGCAGAGGCCAACATCACTCAGAAGTCGATCCTGGGAGCCTCTTATTGTCATTTGGTCTGGCTTTCCTGCGCCTCCAGTGGTCCACAGTCGTTTGCTCGCCCCACTGGAGGCCACCGGGGGCTACGGGAGGCCACTAGAGGCCATTGGAGGCCGCGGGGGGGCCACTGGATGAGACACTGGAGGCGGCTCTAGGCGCGCGGGGGGCCGTTGGGGTCCAATGGTGGCCATAGGAGGAGCCACTGCGGCCACTCAGGCGATTACGAAAGGCTCCCAGGAGCGTCTTCTGAAACATCACCAGCGGCCTTGCCAACGCCATGCGGGGGCTCCTTGGCGCCGACGAGTGGGCAGCACAGCTGCGCGAGTCTCTGGCGCAGCTCGAGCTCGGCGTCGCCGCGGCGCTGCTGACTGCGGGCGCGGACCCGGAGGCGTGCCACGGCGACCCCTGCAGAGGACATCGTTCGGCTGCGGAGCTCGCCCGGCGCGCCCGGCAGGACCACTTGGTGGGCCTGTACGAGGCCCATTCGGCGACTACGAAGGGTATGGTTACGCCGGGGTGTGGTTTGCGATCGGCGCCGTTGGGGCCTGGGGGGCACGACACTGTCCTCGTCGGGCCTCCTCCGGGCGCGGGAGAACTCTATCGAGGTCACCGCGCGTCCCCTAGGGTGCCCCCCAGGATGTTCCCCAGGGGGCCCGTTGCAAACCACACCCTTTGCAAACCACACCCTTTGGAGTCGCCGGCCCATGGCCGCCTGCGCACGTTTTGACGCGGCCCTAGGCGCGAGCGCGGCGGCCCCCCCCGGCTTTTTCGATGCCAGGCTTGCCGGGCATTGGGAGAGAGCACCCATCCAGACAGGCCGACAGGAAGTCTGGACGAGTTCGTCCGACATTGGCATGTCCCAGTGCAGTTCCGGGCCCGTTTCGCCAGTCGACGTGCTGCTCGCCAGACACTCTGCTTTGCGCGCACGTCGATGAGTGATTCTGGCTTGATGGACTCGGAGTGCGGTGCTGGGCGCACCCGCGGAATTCCCCACCAGTTTTGCCTCAATGGCGTGCTGTGAAAGGGGGTTCTGCCAATCCTCGTTTTCGGTGCGGAGATATCGCTGGCGGCTCGGGCCTCGGGAGATGTCACGCGCTCACACCTCGCCACCTCGGAGGCCCCCGCGCGCTCGATTCGGCTGGAGGCCAGTGGCGCCCGTTCAACTTCACAGTTGCTCGGCCATCCTTCTCCTCCTCCTCCTGGCCACGCGCAGAAGGGGTATGGGGGAGGGGGGAGGGTTTCTGAGACGCGCCCCTGCTTCTTAGAAGGAAGGCGCGGGCCTTCTTTGTAGGTGCAAGGCCGGCGCCTTCTGAGAAGCAGCCTCCTTCCAAGAAGCCTTCCCCCCTTCCCCTACCCCCTTGTGCGCGCCGCTAATCCTCCTCCTCCTTCTGTCCGTGCGCCCGATTCGTCTGGAGGCCAGTGGCGCCCGCTCAACTTCCGTCGTTCGGCCCTCCTCCTCCTCCTCCTCCTCCTCCTCCTCCTCCTCCTCCTCCTCCTCTTCCTCCTCCTCCTCCTCATCCTGGCCCAAGGTGCCCCCAGCCGCTCGCGCCGTTTGGGAGTTCCTGGGGCCTCCCTGGGCCCTGGCATCGCTCGGACGTGTGCATTTTTTTCGGCGAGAACCATTGAGGACCATCCTGGACCATCGAGCCAACAGAAACACGCACGACACCTCAAACATGCACGCGAAATGGACGTCCGAGCGATGGCAAGGGGCCTCGTGAGGGGCGCTCCTGGAGGCCGTCTGCCAGGAGCGACGAGCACAGCCATACCCAGGCACCGTGCCCTCGCGGTCTGGACTCCCAGACCCCGTCGGGCAGCGAAACAGAAACATGACAGCACGGATCTCCCAGCTTCCGGCTTCCGGGGGCACTTTCGGGGCCTCGGGCCCGTCAGAAAAGTGTTCATTACCAGCATGGAACATATCCCTATCCCTACGCTGGGCACCTCCTCATCACGATGCCAGTCTTAGGGATTCCCTTATTTTTTGAGGGCGGATCCCTAAGATTGTCATCGCCTTTTGGCGTGTCAATCTCAGGGATAGGGACACGTTCGAGGCTGGTAAAGTCAGGATGAGAAGCTGGTTCTGGGGAGTGGGTCGAGAAGTCAGGGATCGACGTAGTGCACAACTCGTGACGTCGGGGGTCTGGGCTCCGAGGCGCCATCCCATGGCTACTTCAATCCCGCGGCGGCGTTCTGCGCGGGTCGTCCGCACAAAGCTGACCTGTGCCTCCTCCTCCTCCTCCTCTTCCTCCTCCTCCTCCTCCTCCTCCTCCTCCTCCTCCTCCTCCTCCCTCCTCCTCTCCTCCTCCCCTCCTCCTCCTCCTCCTCCTCCTCCTCCTCCTCCTCCTCCTCCTCCTCCTCCTCCTCCTCCTCCTCCTCCTCCTCCTCCTCGTCCCCCTCCCACGGGGTCGTGGCCGAGGTGGCAATAGCGCGCGAGGCCGTGGGTCCGGGTGTGCTGCGCGCCCGCGACCCCTGGTCGGGGGCTTCCAAACGGGGTGGTGACCACACCGTGTGGTGAGTCGGTGTGGATTCGGGGTCACCGCACGGTTTTGGGACTTGGGTCGTTCTCCGAGGATGTCTCGGGCGACGGGAGCCTCCAGGGTCCCAAAACCATGTGGTGACGGACCGTGCGGTGAGGTCTTTGCGGATTTCGAGGTCACCGCCGGGTCTATCACCACACGGTTTTGGGACACCCAACCTGGGCCTCTCCGGAGAAGCTGGGGTCACCCTGGGTCTAAGCCGGGTCTGTCCCCCTACAGGGGGATTTTCGACGAAAAATAAAATCGGGGGTGGACAGAACCCCCAACAGTGACACGTCGATTAGTGAATTGTCTGTTTTCGGTTCTCGAGAGGGCGCCGTGGCCGTTATTTTCCAGGCTTGCGCCCGCCAGGTTTGGGCCTCAGGTCGTTTTCACTAAAGCACGTTTTACTAAAGGGGGGTCTGTCCATCCCCGATAAAAGAATACCCCCAAAATGCCCCAAAAAGGTCAAAAATACTCAAACATAGTACCCGGATTATGTTTGTTTATTATTTGATTATTTGGGGGCACCCTCAGGGGAGCAAAAAGGGACATAAACATCAAAACTCGGAGGTCCGCGCGGATTTCTCGGATCGGCGCTGGACCCCCCTCCCTGGCGCGCGGAGCGCGCCAGGGGCGGCGCCGGAGGCGCCGCCGGGGGGCCCCAGCGCCGATCCGAGAAATCCGCGCGGACCTCCGAGTTTTGATGTTTATGCCACTTTTTGTTCCCCACATGCTTCGTCGTGGGGTTCTGGTTTTCTTCCCTGCCGCGCCGCACCCGCGTCTCACACACCTCCCGCCTCCTCACCCACACACTCGCACACAGCCGCACGCATGCACACATTCGCACATACAAGACGCATATGCACTGCATCATACACCCAAGACGTCTGCACGACATACTGGGCAACACGTGAGATATGTCCCGATATGGCCGCACACGCATCATACACATACACACGGCAAGCCATGCGGCAAGCGAGCAGGCGTGGCTCTTCCTCGACACCATAGGGGGTGCGCAGAGGGTGGTCCCTCAGCGGGGCCTCTATCCGTGACACGCTCGCAGGGCGTGGCAGGCGCGGCACTTTCTCGACACCGCTGGGGGGGCGCAAAGTGTGGTCCCTCAGCGGGGCGGCGCCACGGTTCACACTCCCATGATGTACGCAGTCGCAATGGAGTGCACAGGCGCTGTGGGCTCAACAGGTCTAAGCGCTTTGTGAACCAGAAAAACTATGATCCACAAGCAGTTCACATAATGAAAGGGCCACGGTTGGGCCCCGAGCGATCTTCTCGACTTTCGCTCCGCCGGTACCTTACAGGTGTACACAAGTTTTGTGGTGTACGCTGGCATTCTGGTGCAAACACGGGGCGTTGAAACAGCAGCTGTGGTGCACGCGGGCGCCGTGGTGTGCACCAACAGTGAGATGTACAAAGGCGCTGTGGTGCACCCGCCTGTCATGATGTGCTCAGTCGCCGTGGTGCACACACATGCCATTTCTGACGCAGTTGTGGTGTACAAAGGCATCGCGGTGTACAGAGCCTGTGTAGTGTGCACAGGCACGGTCGGCTTCGACGACGACGACAGCGGCGACGACGACGACGACGACGAAGCCTACCGTGCCGACAGTTGTGCTGGTAATAAGTAGCAGGGCCCGTGCGAGGGCCCCGCCGCGCGTTACCGTTACCCCCAACTTGGGGCCGGACCCCTCCCCCCCCCCCGTAACGGGCGTTACCCCCCCCAATAAAAAAGCGAGCTCCTTGGAAACGAGGGTGGTCAAAAGCGAGGCAGGTTTGTCATTTCCCTGGAGACTGGCCGCGCCGCTGCAGGAGGCCCCGTCGGCGCCCGGGAGGCCCCCTGTCTCCTGGGCGGCGCCGCTCGGCCCGCTCGCGCGCCGGGGGGGCCCCGCCTCGCGCGGCCGCCGGCCGCGGCGGGCGTCCCGAGCGCCGTGCGCCTGCGGCGGCTGCGAGGGAAGGCGTGTTCAGAGCCCCGAATCATCAGGGGTACCTCGGGTCAGGGTTAACTCGGGTTGTTTTTTCGGGAATCCGAGCCCGAGTTAGCCCGGGCCCGAGTTGCCTCGGATATTTCGGGCGTGTCCAGGGCCCCGAATCATCAGGGGTACCTCGGGTCAGGGCTAATTCGGGTTGAAACACAAATCCGAGTCACCCCGGACCCGAGTTACCCCGGATAATTCGGGCGTCCAAGTCTTGCGCGCGTTTGGCCCTGCGGCCAGTGCCTGGCCGTTTCGCGGCTCGGAGCTGAGATGAATGTTGCGCGGCTGGAAAAACGTGGCGCCCCTGGGAGACTCCCGAGGCCGTCCGTGGATACAGGGCGCCCCAAGCATGCCGAGGACAGTCCAGGGGGCTCCCCCGAGACAGCCCAAGAGTGCTCCAAGGCAGATCTCGATGCCTTCGAAACTGCCAAGTCGAAACAGGAGGTATTCACGACGACCCCGGGAAGGCTCGAGATTTTAAGCTCGTCAAAATCCGACTGGTATTCTCATGCTAGTGGCTGGTCTGGCTTTCGTCTCAGATAAGCTGTCGAGGTTTCAAGCTTGTTCCCAAGACGCTCCAAATGGCTTCGACAACGCGGAACGGGCCCCCAATGATCCTCAACAAATTCACACAAGCCCCCCCCCGCAAAGAGTTCCCCAAACAACATGAAACATTCCGACGCGGCTTACAGGGGCCCCACGACATGTCCAAGACAGTTCAGGGGACACCCTAGAGGGCCCAAAATTGTTCCAATTTCGTTCAACATTCTCTCAAGACTGCCGTATGTGTTCGGCAGAGCCCACTATCTCTTCAAGAGGCCCCCGAGGAGGCGCCCGAGGAGCCTACTCCAACAGGAAGCCCAAGGCAATCAATACTTTAGCATGTTAGCCTTCCTCGCATCAGGTGAGCTTCTGACGCTTCAAGATTCCCCAAAGGGGACTTCAAACGGCTCCGGCAGAATCGCAGATTTACCCCCAAATGCCCTGGTTGGCCCGAAATGGCCCCCAGAGGCACCGCTTCAGGAGAGAGAAGATTGCGCCGACCACGCCGCCTCCAGGGACTTGGACAAACGCTCGTGGGGCGCGCAACATCAGGGGCAGCAGTGTGGGTGGGTCGCGTGTTGGGTCGCGGGTGGGTCGCGGGTGGGTCGCGGGGTGGGTCGCGGGGTGGGTCGCAGGTGGGTCGCGGGGGGGTCGCGAGCCGGTTCGCAGATGGGTCGCGATTGGGTCGCGGATGGGTCGCGAATGAGTTGCGGGTGGGTCGCGGGCGGTTCGCGGGGTGGGTCGCGGGTGGGTCGCAGGTGGGTCGCGGGGTGGGTCGCGGGTGGGTCGGGGGTGGGCCGCGGGCGGGTCGCGGGTTGGGTCGCGGGTGGGTCGCGGGCCAAGTCGCGGGGGTGATGACGCCAAACGACAACAATAACAGCAGCAACAACAACAAAAATAAGACACACCAACAATAACAATAACAAAAACAATCCGCATCGCGGAATCCCATTTCAGCCACGCGCATAGTTGTAGAGAGGGAAGGAACAAAACAGATAACGACACATAGAGAAATCTAAGGAGATAGGGAGAGAGAGAGAGAGAAAGATAGAGAGAGAGAGAGAGAGCCGGCGAACACACTATTATGAACATTGATCTATATACACAATATTGTAGATCGCTGTAGAG